TAATACTCACTCTATTCGACACCTCACCTACTCACGCCACTACCCACTATTCCACTTCACCTTCTGGCTACTCGTCATCACCTACCTCCTCTACACACTACTCGTCCCTCTGGACCTCCTCCACATCCTCTCGCATTGGCGCCTCGCCTACACCCATCACCTACTACCACTGCATCTACTCGCCGACAAGATACCCGCACAGACTACATTGTACTTCAAACCGTAATCTAATACTCACTCTATTCGACATCTCACCTAATCACTCCCATACTACCTCCTCACCTTCTGGCTACTCGCCATCACCTACCTAACATACTCTCTCACAATACCACTCAACACTACTCACTACTCCACCTCACCCTCTGGCTACTCGGTATCATCTACCTCCTCTACACACTACTCTTCCCACTGAACGTTCTACACCTACGATCACACCTACACACTGCCGTGCTCACACCACTAGTACTACTCACCAACTACACACAATCAAATGACATCACATACTTCAAACCGTAATATAATACTCACTCTATTCGACAACTCATCTACTCACTCCACTACCCACTACTCCACCTCACCTTCTGGCTACTCGCCATCATCTACCTAACATACTCACTTACAATACCACTCGATGTTCTATACCTACAATCACACCTGCGCACTGCCGTGCTAACACCACTAGTACTACTTACCAACTACACACAACCACATGATATCACCTACTCACTCCACTACTACCATTCATCATATAACTACAACCTCTTCTCAGTTATCAACCACTTCGTCACCTTCTGGCTACTCGCCCTCACCTACCTCCTCTACGCACTACTCTTCCCCCTGGACCTCTTCCACATCCCCTCGCATTGGCGCCTCGCCTACACTCATCACCTACTACCACTGCATCTACTCGCCCACAAGATACCCGCACCTACTACATTGTACTTCAAACCGTAATCTAATACTCACTCTATTCGACATCTCACTTAATCACTCTTCTCTACCTCCTCACCTTCTGGCTACTCCCCATCACCTACCTAACATACCCTCTCACAATACCACTCGACGTTCTACACCTACGGTCACACCTACACACTGCCGTGCTCACACCACTAGTACTACTCACCAACTACACACAACCACATGACATCACATATTTCCAACCGTAATGTAATACTCACTCTATTCGACACCTCACCTAGTGACTCCACTACTACCATCCATCATATAACTACAACCTCCTCTCAGCCATCAACCTATTCGTCACCTTCTGGCTACTCACCATCATCTATCTTTTCTACACACTACTCTTCCCCCTGGACCTCCTTCACATTCTCTCGCATTGGCGTCTCGCCTATAGTCATCACCTACTACCACTAATACTACTCAGCAACTACGCACAACCACATGACATCACATATTTCAAACCGTAATTTAATAGTCACTCTATTCGACACTTCACCTACTCACTGCACTACCCACTATACCTCCTAACATTCTGGCTACTTGCCATCATCTACCTCCTCTACGCACTACTCGTCCCACTGGACACTCTCCACATCTCCTCGCACTGGCGCCCCGCCTACACCAACCACCTATCACCACTGCATCTACTCGCCGACAGTATCCCCGCACCTACTACATTCTACTTCAAACCGTAATCTACTACTCACTCAATTCCACTACTCACCTACTCACTCCACTACTACCATCCATCAACCACAGACAACCTCCTCTCAGTCAAATCACCTACTCACTCCACTACTACCATCCATCATATAACTACAACCTCCTCTCAGCTATCAACCACTTCGTCACCTTCTGGCTACTCGCCCTCATCTACCTAACATACTCACTTACAATACCACTCGACGTTCTACACCTACGGTCACACCTACACACTACCGTGCTTACTCCACTAGTACTACTCACCAACTACAAACAACCACATGACATCACCTACTCACTCCACTACTACCATCCATCATATAACTACAACCTCCTATCAGTCATCAACCTCTTCGTCACCTTCTGGCTCATCGCCATCATCTACCT